ATTATAATGCCCCCACAGCTGAAAGGGCGAACATGTTTGGTGTAATGGGGATTCGAACCAGCAGATTGCCAGTCGAGCACCCTAACCATCTGGCCATGCCGGGCCAACTTCAAGAATAATGTCATGTTTGACTAACTGTCATGGAAGTATTATATAAAATGATACAATTTACTAATCATGTGTGAAATAACTCTAAGTTAAAAATGTAACTATCACATTGTATGAGCATTTGCTTTAACAACAGTAGAATGAATATGTTGTTGGCCGACTTGACCATATTTAAACATTTGTTTATTTGCTCAACATATTCAGAGATTTTATTTCTACAATGAGTTCTTCCCCTGCAATTCTATATGTTTCTCAAACACATGAACTTCATTTTGTGTAAAATTTTCAGTGAAATATGATACATAAACAAGTAACATGGGTCTTAGCAACATGGAGCATGTTATTTTATGTACTTTTACCAAGAATTAGATTATAACACTATAATTAGTACGAATAAGAAAAAGAAAGAAACAGTTATGGCATAGACTGTTGTTTGCTGAATTACATGCAAAGTTACTTGAGAGCTATCTGTTCTTAATTTTGAAGTGGTAGACTGGAGGAAGGCAGCTTGTCAACATCACCTATTACCAACTCATCGTGGGCGACTCCAGTCAAATAATGGTATTAGACTGTCATTCTTATATTGCACCAATGACCTCAAAGTGTGTAGTGCAGTCTTTGTTTTGGCATTAATAAGGTGCAAACCATAAAATCTCAGATCTATGGTCTGGCATGCTAACCACTGAGCCACTCTTATCCCCTAATGCAAAATAAGACAAAGAAAGTACACTTCTGAAAAGATACAGATATGTTTCTTATATAGCACAGAATGTTTTAACATAGGGTCTACATTTCTGTTGAAAAAGGTGAACTATGTGGCACTTTATTTCTTAACTTGTAGTTCTATTCAAGTATTCAGAGGATCTTTCAGGTAATCACGATCCATTTCTATTGCTGTGATATTTGTTTTGGGTAAAAAATGGGATACTGCATGACCTTTTAGTGATATTATAATTTTTTGATGTTTTTACAAAATAAATCTTTATAATTTTGATTAACTCTAGCATACAAAGGCCACAGGATCATACATCTATTAGCTTAAATAAAATTAACTGGATAATCCATTCTGCTTCTACTTGAAGGCTTGTGCAATTTTTGGGTAGTTATTGCAACAATTCTTTCACACTTTTCAAAAATTTGTTTTTCAATAATAATAATACTTTGTTGCAGGGTATTCACAGTCAGTAGTCATGATGCCACAATTGAACAAGATTTTATACACATACAAACCTTTTAATTGATCTTATTTCTTTCATAGCACCTAAAAAACTGATATTGTTGATTCACTGCCACTAGTATATTTTCAACAAAATATTTCCTTAAAAGAACATGTGGACAGAAAAATTCAGGATCTTGTCACATACTGGGATGGAAGAAAATTGAAGCATTAACTTGTGTACTTCTGGGTATGTTAAATTACTAATATTACTTGCAAAGTTTTAATGTATTGCTTTGCTATTTTGTTTTTCATGCATTCAAACCATTTATTGTTTTTTTGTTCTTTTATCATTAAAATGTTATTATTATATAACTATCACAGGCCACTGACCTATATATCATCTTATACTATAATTAAAGGCAATGAAAGGTTCTGTTGATAAAACATTATTTTCAAAGGTTAAAAACAATACAAGTTTGTTCAGCTTTGGTGATGAGAATCATGGTTCAGGGGTATTGGATTTGATAACTATTTCCTATCTTTGTTATGGGAAAACTACTAAGGCTGCCTGTCTCTATAAGTAATTTTGAACTGCTGACCAGAGGGAAGTCAATTGGCTGGCAGCACCCATCACCAACTTTTGTTTTCCTTGTAAAGACCATGGTTTGAGGAATGATGTAACAAGTAAATAAATGAGGCTGTTGATCAACTAATTAGCAAATACCACTAATTGTCCAGCTATAATTATAATTAGTTTGTACTAAAAAACATTAATCAGTAATAGAATTCTATTATAATTACAAGTGGCTCTAGAAGTGGAATTAACATAAAAATGTTTGAAATAAGAGTCAATACATTTTGGCAATTTGCAGTTATAAGTACAGTCAAGTGCTTACTTGAATGTTTTACTTTTAAATGGAAGAAGACTATAAGGATAATATGTAACAGTTTTTAGATATGTACTGAACATTTTGTTATAGCAAAGATGCAAGTATGTAAATTAGGCATTGTTTATAATACATATATAAAAGGTTTCATTACAAAATATTTAAGATACTTAAAAGATACCTTCATAACTGCTTCATTATCTAGCATTTTATTTCACACTTGTAATAATTAATAGTGATAGATCAAGTACATCATCACTTTCTCCAGCTGTTTGGATAAGGTGTTAATTTTGTTAGACTTTATACAAGAAATATTTCTGAGTAAAGAAACAAAAGACAGCAATATAATTGAACATGTTACCAAGACTTTATTCTGTCAACTTGTCTACATAAGGCTGTAAGAATGTTTTTTTTTCAATTTCCTTTTAATACCTTCCTAGAAAATAGTAAATTACTACATGGTATTTACAAATTAACCAGTTTTTCTAGTAAATAGTGCCACAGCATTATAATCTAATAATCAATCATATTGTTTTTATGGTATACCAAGCTCAGTGAACACTGGCTGCCAATGACTTGAGGTCAGACATACATTTTTGTAGGGCTTCTTTCTCCTGAAATAAGAGAGCAGAAATAAATTGTAATACTGGATAACACAAATTGCATCTTATTTTTTTTCACATAAATAAATGTGTTAAAAATTAAGCCAAACCTCCATACAAGATTAAAAACAAAATCCTCTGAAGTAAGAAAAATTACCTTCTAGAATAGTTATAGGACCTTTAACCCTCTGGATACAGGTAGGTAAAAGTGTGCAAGTCATGACCTTTTTATGGGATTACATTCAAAATTCAATCAAAATACTTTATTATCAATGAATGTTAATTAATCTGGCAACAACACATAGTTAATATATGAAATTGTAATGTAATATGTATTTTGATTACTTAATTTCAAAAGGAAATATTCAAATACATTTTCAATCTTCACTTTTCTGTATCACATTTGTTTGCATCAAACTGCACTATTTATATGTTCTTTTCTTACATATTTGAGCTTCTGAATTTTAAAACAAATTAAAAACATACCATATTGATACTTCTACAACATAATATAATCTCATAGCCTCCAATTATTTTGATTTACAGACACAAACCAGAAAGTCAAACCCATATACCACACCCTCCTATCACATACTATCAATAATTATAACTCATAGAAAGAGAAGATTTTAATTTACTGAATTACGTAATAGGTTAGCTAGTTCTGATGAATTTTCGAATTATTTGATCTACATTTTCAACTTTTGCAATAACCAAGTTCACTGCGATCAAGTGAGGGAAATATTTTAAGTTAGAAAAACAATTAAGTTACAATAATTAATAAATATTGTATTCTTTGTGTAAATTATTATTTTGTATACTTAATTGAATATTTGAAATAAATAAAAATTCAGTAAAGTACTAACAATAACCTTGGCAAAAATTAGGGCTAGCTTTTCCTAAGTCTTTGACTGCAAAGAAGTACAAAACTTAAATGTAAGTACCTAATATCTTGTTTTTTAAGTATACTTTTTATTTACTGTTATAAAAATATCTTAAGTGTAATAGTTAGAAACTTATTAAGTTAGGAAAGAGAATACAAATGAAAAAAACTAAATAAAGTTTTTTTTTGTATAGGTATGCACACGAGCTGCACATGCATAATCCAGTACTTTGTTTTACTGTAACTGTGGCTACTTGTTCACCAGCTTTGTTATGCATGTTTGGTAGCTTGACGTAGTTAAATGAGCAAGAAAACAAAGAACTAAATAAAAGAAAATGTAAAGTGTTACAAGCCTGATGCTGTTTAGGAAAAATAACTAAATTTGTTACGATCAGCAGTCACTCAACAAAGAAATAAAAGAGTGTAATTTTGATTTCTTGTGGTAGTTACAAGGTCAGTAAAATGCATAAAGTCTATCAAATCTTAATATTATAGTCAAGGCATCTCAATTAAGAAAAAAAAAAGTCCAAGAAAGACAACATGAATTACATTTATCACACACTGATTACTGTGTAAATGACAAATATTTCCAGTGTCCTTATTTACATCTATGAAACCTACAAGAACACAAAAATTTACTTATCAAACCATTAATAAGTACTGCAAGTTCTGCTTGGGAAGTCTTTGAAGTAGGAGAAAATGTAAAATTACAGATAGTGCTACTTAAGCCATTAAAGTATGAATACTACAACAGGTTAAAATTAGAAATGAACTATAGATTAATTAATTCTAATTCTGTGTATTTAGCTGTTTTATATATCAGTATGATGCTGTTGTTAATATTTTTAACCAGTTTGCTCCTCATTTCTTCACTTTTATTCATTCATTTATACACCATATTTCATTATAAACATTAACTTTTTTCACCCCTTAAAAGCTCTATTTCCTGTCTGGGGTATAAAAGATCACACTATTTCTTTTAAGATGTCCATACATCTCTAGTTAGTATTACTTATTAAAAATTAATACATTTACTCTTTTATAGATTTTATGAAAAAAATCAAAACACTGTAGCACAACTTACCTGCTGGGGTGAGATACCTTTGATAACACTGTCCACAATCCAGTTGACCATGTGCTTCTGTTCTAACATTCGACGTGTATTCACCAATTGAACTTGATAGTCCTATATTTTCAACACACAATAAACTCAATAAGGCTTTGTTTAATAGAAAAAATACGATCAAGAAAGTGGAGGGTACTTAACCCACATTATCTCTGTTTGTTATAACTAATGTTTTACATTACATATCACATGATGATTCATGTGCGTAGCACGTATTAACTTCATGAATGCAGATAACTGCACCCCTCAATTTTCTCCACATTTTTTAGTCATTCATACATAGTGATTAGTAATGCATGTTTAATATGATTAATTAATTATATTACAGTAATGAAATATAAATATGCCAATTTCTTTAGTATTAACAAAAATGTACTCCTTTCCAGTTCATTTGGAGTGCTGGTTTCAGAAAAAAAAACGTTTTCCTTCTTATCAATGACTTTATGAAATCTAAATAATTAATTAGTTACTTTTTGAGATAATTCTTATAAAACAACAGGAGATCCAGACAGTTACTATTAGAGCTTGGCAATTAAATCAATAACCTACGAGAAATGATCACATTGAATAGTGTCGTGTAAATTACAAATAAAGTATATTTGGCCACTTATACTTAACATTATATATTATAAACTCTACTTTAAACATATCTTTTAAGAGACAGAGAAAGTCAAATCTCAAATGATGTTTTAGCCATAAAACTTATTTGGAAATAATCTACAGTCTTCAAGTTTCATAGCAAAAAATATGACAGTTAATTTTTTGAGATAATTCTTATAAAACAACAAGAAATCCAAACAGTTACTATTAGAGCTGGGCATTTCAATTGATAACTTAAGAGGAATGATTAGATTGAATGGTGTCATGTAAAAATAACAAAGTAACCAAAATTATTGGTTCTGATTATTACTATTTTTGATTATTCCAGCAATTGATCAATCAAAATTATAATTAAATCTATTAAGGTCATGAAAATAGTCAATTATTTAAAAACAGTTTTGCCACATTACCAGAAAATAGGGTCGTCTGAATTAGTTACACAAGTTAGCACCACATGATGTATTGAACATGAACATCTGTTAAAGATAGGGACAAGATGCCACATGAACGATTAGAGAATCTCCAATTATCTAAGTAATCAAAAAACTGCCATTATGATTGTTTGGTAAGCACAAAACTACGTAAAGGAATATCTGTGCTTTGACCTTAACCACATACTTGTTTTTTTGCTTTGAGAGAGGGAGAGAGAGCTAAGTAGAAGCAGACTGAATATACTGCTCCATTTCCACTAGGTCCTTGCAATGCAAGCTCTCAGTCTAGCACTTGATGTAATACAGGTTATTTTGAAAGCCATTTTAAAGCAGATTTTACATTTTTGATATCCAAACTTCCCTAAAGTTTGCATACTGTATTTTGCTCTTCACATACATACTACTATGAAGAAAAATACTTGCACCAATTATTTTTTTAAATATTAGGGGTATTGAAAATTAAAATTCTGGAAAGCTTCATCATGCAGCTCTAGAATAAAAAATATGGCAAGTTGGTGAATGGAATTTTGAAGACTTGTTTTGAAGTTGTATAATGTTCAGGATAAAGCAAAACATTTGCTATTTTTAATTCCACAGAAGAGTAATAAGCATGCATGTTATGCATAATGAGCAAACTATTGAACAGAACATAAAATATAATAAACAACTCAAAGCCACCCCTCATTATTTAATATTTATTAGGCCTTCCCTTAAATTTATTGCATTTACCACATCTGAACACTACCCATTACAAAGGTCAGCTGCCCTGTTAAAAAAATCTCACATGTAGATTACTCCTAACCAGCCAAAATCTATATTTGTGTCCCATAGCCTTACCATTTTTTACCTTTAAGTACAAAAGAAGAAAAAAAAAGACTCAAAAACATTATCGATTCCCTTAATAATCTTAAACACCACAATCAGTTCCTCCCTAACTCTTCTCGTTTTCAAGAGAAAACAATTTTAAAGATGTTAACCTGTCCTTGTATGACACCCTTTTCATCCTATGTACCATTTTAGTAGCCCCCTATGAACCCTTTCCAAGAATTCCCCATCCTTCCTAAGGTAAGGAGACCAAGACTGAACATAACACTCCAAATGTGGCCTAACCAGTGATCTGTACAATGAAATTACAACCTTTTTACACTTGTATTCAGTCTTTATGTAGATCATGTTTGTTTGTAAGTAAGCACAAAGTACACAATGGGCTATCTGTGCTGTGCCCACCATGGGTATTGAAACCCGGGTTCTAGTGTTGCATGTCTGCAGACATACCACTGTGCCACTGGGGGCATGTAGATCATGATTCAAACCCTGGACCCTTTGATCCAAAGCTCAACACCCTAACCATTATTCTGTATCCACCCCAGTGAAAGAAGAGGAAACACAACCCTACATAGTAAAAATACTATGGTGTGAAATGACTCCAATGACTGACAGAAATAATATATTACATATTCAAATACAGAACAACTTTCTTATGAGTTATATATATAAATATTTGTTTTTCATTATTTAGAGATATTACTGAAGGACTGTTTGCACCCTTCAACTGGTAATTTTGATATCGTGAAGAAGTTTAATACATTTTTGGAAATAATATATCCCACTAAATTTTCAAACTTTACAGTATGCACCTAGAAAACAAAAAGATCATGGCTCCTGTAAAAGCCACCATCTCAAGAGTTGTTAGTGTTCATATAAAGAAACTGATATGGAAACATCTGTAAATGATCATAAGCAAAAAGGTTTATCACTAGGATATAATACATCCTTTATTAGTACTCTTGGAAATGGGAGAATATTATCTCTAAGCATCCATAAATTTTTAAACTGATTATACATAACCAAACTTACTTCTTCAAACCTATTATGAACATCCTATGTGCACATGATCTTTATACAACTAGAATTGCAGGAAACTTTTTTTTGCATTACTGTTTCAAATTAATGTGTTTTAATATGTAAGCATTTCACTTGTTTAAATTATTCACTCATAAATAGTTATCAAAGACTGGCAAGATATCAGCTTGAAAAAACTTTTTAAATAGAGAAATCAACAATGGTTCAGTACATTACTGTAAATGGCATTATAATCTTTATCAGTGATCATTAATTACCATTCGTTTCTTCACTTCCTCATACACTTGCATCAGTCGATGTCTGTATTCACTTTCCAATTGCAGTTGCACATTTTCCTGAAAACAAAACAAATCATTAGATTAAATTAAGAATTTTGCATTATCTAAAAGTATATCTAAAAAAATACTCACTGCCATGTTCAGTGACAACCATAAACAAATTTCAATTTAAATTAGTTATAAATTACCATTTATAAAATTACAGTCTTCCTTTTAGTTTATTACAGACACTAAATTTAAATATATTACTAGATACACAAGAGGATTAAAAATTTCAAGTAACTGCTTCATCAAATAGAAATTCAAATTTATACAGAAAAATATAACAAAAGATAATACTGACATTCATTTACATAACAGTAGAAGATGCAACAACTGTTGGGAAAAAAGTGAATTAAAATTTTTCTGATTATATAAATGTTTAAAAAATAGAAACCAAACAAAAATGTTAGTGTTCAGTAGGTTAAGATTTTATGATGTACAAGCAACAAAATAACATTTTAAAAAGAAGTTACAAGGCTGAAAATTTATTCATTCCAAGAGAAAAATTTTAAATTTCTTTATATTTTCTATGCCATTCACTGTGGCAGTTATTAAAAGAAGCATGATTCTGTCATACAACAGAGAAACCATTAATAGAGCTAGATGATGTTTCTTTACAATTGTGTTTTGCCTAATTGAAAGCAAGTGGTCACATATGTAACCACCAAGTTGGCTTATTATTTATCTAAAGAGTTCTGAGCCATTTTGTAATGAAAACACTATGCATTCTGAGATGCATGCAAAAGATTCATTTAAAGTAATGCTCATCAACTCTCCCAGTTTCATTAAACACCAACTTCACATGATATAATAAACTCCTCTTCTTCCTCCAGATGGACAGAATAGACAACAGGATGTCAAACTTGATGTTGTACAACACAATCTTGTTTATATAGCAATACTTCCACTATATTGTGTAAAGCTGGCTTTGCTAAATTTTTAAACGACACTTTCTACATTACATCCTGTTCAATTTTACATAAACTCTCCTCTAATAATCTATTTCTGTGTGAACAGGTACAACCAAATTCCGTCTTCATTATTCTTTTGTCAGTTACGCTTGTACAACTTTTGTTTCTCTACTCACATACTTATACTTTTTTCAACAAACAATTCTGTAACTTCTTATTTACTAAATTTAGTTTAAACTTTTGTTTCTGCACTCATGTGTATATTCCTTTTTTTTTTAAACAAGCATCTCTGTATAACATAATACAATATGAAAACATTTGTAACACAAGATCTGCTTTTGTCACAACTGTCAACTCTTGCTATGAGGTTAAAGTGCACGCCATGACTTTTTAGAGTTACATTCGAAATCTAATTATTTTATTATCATCGTATACAAATAAACTCAGAATTTAAATGTAGTTAATAAATAAAATTTTAGTATAAGTTGTAATTTCTTACTTTTATAAAGAAATATTTAAAAAAATCCACAATATCCTTTAGTACGAGAATTGTGACGTATGTTCTCTAGGTATTCCTTCTAATTTATTTACCACTCCTCCAAGAAGTACAGAATTTTACGTAAATTACTCATATCATAGGTTTACTAAGGCAAAGCATATTTTTTAAATACTTCAATCCTATTTATGGAGCCACAGACTAGAAAATCAGACCCACTCGTTACATCTTCTCTTTTACAAATTGTATACTATATTATTCACAACCAATAGAAAAGCAAAGATTTTAATCTATCAAATGACGTATTATATTACATTGTTTTCTGTACAGAGTATTGTCTATTTTGCCTCCAGTTTGAAAATTTCTCTTATAGTATTCATATTGACAAGCTTAGCTAAGTTCTTTAAAACTTGTCAGATAGTTATAAAGCCAGATAAATTATGATAGTAATAAGACATTGTTTACTTTGCGAGTGTTATTATCCTGTGTTCTTGCATGCATTATTTAACCCATTTGACACAGGTACCCCTTTAAACACTTTTCTGTGCAAGTCACTGTGTTACATTCAAAACTTAAACACCTTTACTAACAATGTATGTGAATGAAATTAATATTATAAGGTATGCTATTATTCAAAGTTTTAGGTTATCTAAGTTTTAAGTCCTTTGTTTCAAAAGAAACCTTTAAAAAAACCTACTTAAAACTTCAAATGTATTGTCACATGACCCACAAGCTATGAAAATTCTCTACTTTAGCACTCCGTATCTTCAATAACACAATGCCAGTTGTGTAGATGTACACCTAGACAATAAGATTTTTACTTAATCTATTGACACATACATTAAGTTTTATGGATGAATACAATTGAAACAAGTAACAAATTTTGCCAACCTCTGACTGGTGCCATGCTCACCTTCAATAGGTTTGTTTGAGTTTTATAGCCTACACATAGAGGTTACATTTGCATGTATATAGTCATTAGAGAGAGTTCATTTTACACTATAATCCAACAAGAGTTATTTTGAAATTGGTGCAGAGTTTTTGTCACAGGGTACATGCAACTGCCTGTAGTATTGTTGGCTGTTTGATTGACTAGAGCATTAGTTGTTTCTTACCTAAATATGTTACAGTTAGAGATACGGTTAAATTGTATTTAGGTCTTACTTTTATATTTTAGTTAATTATGTATTATTTATGGTTCTTTTTTTTTTTTAAAGTTTGATAGTTATTTAGGTTTAAAAATTATGCAAATGAAATTTGACAATTTTCAGTGAAGTATTTTTAATCTTAACATGAAAATCACTTTGCACTCAGAGCAGTAAACACACTGATCCTATATATTCACAGGCAAATTTTTTGGTGTATAAGAGACTTGTAACATTTACTGAAAGCTTGCCAAATCTCATGAAGATACACAAAACATATTGAAAATTATAGTATGAGAACTCTGATGGTCGAAAGGTCAGTGTAATCCACTGACTCTATAGTGAGAGGTTTAATGCCTCTGTTGATATTCTCCTATTTGCAACAGTCAGAGCTTCCTCCAGGCTTCAAAATTGGAGGGTCCAAAAGGTAAATTATAGGTTCTTGCACCAAGCTCTTTAGTATTCAGCTTTTAAGTGTACATGTGCAGCGCCGTTTTGTTTGTTGATGATAACATGCATCGTAAATAGACACAGTGACCTTCTCTCTTGGGAAAACTGAAGTTTGTGCATTGGGCATAGCAAGGAAAAAGCTGAATATTCCAACCACAGACCTATATAGTATGTTTCAGATGTTGCTGCATTTACACTTGTATTTTGTGGAGCAAAAGAGTGGAAATCAGAAAGACCAGCTTATTTATAACACTCACTGATTCTTATAATAATAATAGAAACAACAAATTAATAATAGCATAGATTAATAAATAAACAAATTTCTGTTGTACTCTTGAAGAGTACTGGTCTCTGAAATTTTGATCAAAAACCATTAGGTTAGAAATTAAACTTTGTATGCAAACTAGTAGTTGATGATGAAGCTGATATTAGTTGGAAATGAATTCTTAAATAATTTTACTTCAAAGTCCTTTGTAAACATTGTAGCAAGAAATAATATTGTTACTGATGTTTCAAAATATCAATCAATTTAGATTTAATGAGGATAAATAAATCTCTCTTTACTCAGATTACCATAAGGAAGAAAATGTATATATGTCCAGTACATTCACATGAGAAAATTTGTATATTCTAAAGAAAATTGTAAGAGCCACAGATGCACACAGTAGTTCTTTCAACTATATTTTAAATACGAACAACCTTATATAAAAATGTCATATTGATTCCACTCAGAACTCCCTTTTTCTGCCCATTCCTACCATTAACAAACTGTCTGATGCATGTTGAACTAACTTAAAAAAATCACATAATCCGATATATTTTTGTAATCTGAAGTGAGATGAAAATGAGATTTTAAGATGCTACATACTGCCGTTTCATCATTTAAGTGTAGTAATAAAAAAACAACACTAAAACACTAATTATGTGTGCACTTCACTCAATCCAATCCTCATATATCTGTGACAATTTGAACAATGTGTGCAAAGTTCACATGTTATGACCTTTTTAAAGTGTTAAATTCAACATTTAATGAAACAACATTTATTAATGTATGTTAATAAACTTGGTACAAAATGTATTTTATAATTCAAATTTGTATACGATTTAAATTCAAAAGGAAATAGTGAGATAATTAAATTTGTGAAAACCACCATTAAGAATTCTTCTCATCTTGTCACAGCTTTGAATAAATTTATCTATACCATTTGTCCTATTCTGTTCCCTAGAAGAATTTACAAAACGTTATTTCTTTTTTGGCAAGCATTAATAGAACATTTGTGTTTATGTGTGGTCATTATTGTTGAGCTTTGAGTGGTCAACAGAATTTTTGAGCTTGTTTGTAGCCTAGTCAGAAAGCCAGATAATTACAGTAGTTTTAGGACATTCTATACTTTGTGTTTCATAACTGAAATAAACATATGGCTAATGGCATACACTGAGAGGGTCTAAATACAGATTTAAAACAATAAAACTAAATGAATCAAGTTGAAAGGTCTATTAGATTTGGTTGTAAAAATAAATTGTGTATAATTAATTGTCTATTACAACATGCAGAAATAAAACAGGGTGGTTTAGATTTATTTCAAATTTAAAAGAAAAATTGCTTTTCCTTTTATGTACAACATATTTATACCTTTTACTAAAAGTCTGCAAAATTTCTTGAATATATACTTAGTAAATTCAGAATTATAAAAAACAATGTTATGTATAACTTCATAGAAACTGGGTGGTGCGAAGCACCAACACCATTCACATAGGGTTAAATAATATGTAGATTCCTTTTTTAATAGTTTAACTGTAAACTAGTCATGACCCACAAAATATTTTTGGTAGTTTTCATGCCATTCACTCAAACTTTCCTTTTTCTATCATTTTCATGCTCGCCATTTAAGCTATGCTTTTTTACAGGTAATATGTTAGATTGATAAATCCTGGTCTATTTGAAAAAATTTTACACAGTCAGACAAACAAACTCACATAGACATAACTTTATTTAACCCTATAACAATGGAACCATTTTTAAAACCCTTTCTGAACATGTTACTGAATTACATTCAAAATTTAATGAAATTATTTTTTATCAAGCACATTATAATTCAAAGTTTAATATTATCTCAGTTTTTATCCCTTTATTTCAAAAGAAAACTAGTTTTTTGTGCAGGCACCATTGAGGTTACAATTATCAACTTTAAGAGCGGGTATAGAAGAAACTGCTGTGAATATAATTTAGATGTTTCCATTCAGACTGTCAAAGTACACCCTATCTAGCTTGTTTATGAGTAACTTGAGTACGTTCCGAGAACTTTTGTCCCGGAGCACAATGTTTAAAAGATTTCTCATTTTAAGATAAGCCACACCCACTTTCAAAGCAGAAGTTTTAAACTGAATGGCATGCTTATAACCAATAGAAAGAGAAAATTTTGCAGAATCTTCTCCATAAATTATCTTCTATCCACCAATGTTAATGTTGACTATTCAAATTTATTCTAGGCTTTGCCTTGTTCAACCAGCTTTCATAATGTTAGCAAGTGCAACTACCATTTTGTCAGAGGCTAAACTGTCTCTGCTGATGTTAACATTATATCACCTGCAGGAACCTGTTGATGTGTGTCAACAAATAATCAAAGATAAAAAAAATGAAAGGAAAATAAAACATTAAATATAAAGAGAAAGTGAAAATATAAAGACATGAAACTGCATATATGACCCAAGGAATATATTTTAAGATTATTGGATGAAGAGATAAAAGGTATCTATATATTTGTATTCCTTACTTTTTAACATTTCATTGCACTGTGTGTTGACAATAATAGTTAGAAGTAGTGATGTTGTAGAGAAAATAGAAAATAAGATATAAACACTGACCTTACAAAAACTTTTGATATTCATTTAGGATGTTCTAGAGATTATGAAAGTCAAATGTGAAAATTGTAAGATAAAAAATAGTATTTTCATATTTAACATGAAAATCACCTTGCAGGTGAACTAATCAGAGACTGAGCTCATATAACTACATTAAATAACGAATTTTTGGTAGAAATAGTAGAAAAAAAAATCAAAATTATATATTTTATTTCTCTCAAACTACATACTTTTATGAATGTTCTTGTCAAGTTTTAAGTGAGAGGCATATGGTTTTGAATAAACTTTGCATGCATATTTTTGACCTAAATAAGTTGAGAAAATCTACAGAAATTGTATTTAGTAATGTTCATTTTTTAAAGGAAATTACACACAGGTTAAGTGTTGTTTTTGTGAAATACTTTGCAAATAAAAAACTAAAGTTGAAGTTGAAGCTAGTCGTCACATGATGACAACAACATTGTACCGTTGTGAACCATACTCATTGCATTGAAAAGTTTGACTAAGTAGAAAAAAAAAAAAAAAAAGAAGTTAAGAAATTTCTGAATTGAAAAGCCAATATGTAATCCAGACCCCTAAGATAAAGGCCTTTCCACAACATTTGTTAGCTCATACTTATCTTTCTTTTTATTTATTTATGAGGCTATATTTTATAGCCATAGTGCTATTTAAATTTCAAAATTAGAATAATTATATTTTATATTACAAATGGCAAGACTGATAAGAGCCTGCATAAACTAAAGACTTTTACGTTATGGCTGTTAGCTTTAAATTCAGAAAATGAACTATGCAGTAAGATTAAAAGTGTCAAATATTGAACAGTAAACATCCATGTGCCAAATTTACATTTAAGAATGAGCATATATAATACTTGTATTCTAAAACCAATCAAGCTGCATAATTCAATAAAAATAAATTAAAACAATACTTAATGCATAATCAACAAAGTTTAAGGGTATACACCCAACCATCATTTTCTGGGTTATAAAATAATATTGACAGTCTCATTCCCATTTGTATTAAAACTTGGTAAAAGTTTTAGTTTATCATGTTCACAGGGTTGTGAGCTGTTGCAATTTGTTATATAAACTAAATTAAGAATTGCTTGAAATTTCATGAACAGTAATTTCACTGATAATAATATCTGTGAAATTCTGAATAACACACCTAATCCTAAAATTTTACATTTTAATGCTTTTAAAAAGATCTGATGTAATATGTTGTGTAATATGTTATTTTTAGACACAGTTTATTCAAAAATTCAAAACAGAAGTGTATTTAAATTAGTTTTTAGAATAAGACATTTTAAAATTGTAATTCACAACAACATGTAGTCAACTTTTGTTTACCAATTCACTTGTTTTTACTAAATAATGCAACTTGTAGAATCCACCACTTAAGTGGTTGTCTACTTGTATAAAAGAATAAATTTAAATGAAACCAAGAAAAGCATCACGTATTATTCAATTTGTTCTGAAAGAATGCAGTGTTACTACTAAACCTGATAATTTCATTGTGGTTAGTGGTACTGATGGATACAAGCAGCAATTATAATTTGTGTGAGGTTAATGATTAATAATTGAAGCCAGTATGGAACCAGCAGAATCTGAATTATTGACTTACCCTAAAACTAAAAGTTTTTTTATAATTTGTTAAAAAAAGACAAGATTAGAGAATCTGTTTATAAATTGATAAGAAGTTGTAAAACTGAGCTTTGCTGTCAGCAAGCGAGTTTAATGTCTTTATTGTTTAGCTAAACATCTTAATTTTGAAAAGTACTTGAGAATGATCAAGAATGAACAGATAGCACTTTTATCTGAAAATCAAGAAATACTCGTACCATTGTTTTAAATAGTGAATGAGTTCGGAAGTCAACAACAGCTCAGCTGAACTCTACACAAAATCTTAAACTGTTCACAAGTAGAGCATACAAGAGACAAGAAAATGAAATCTTGTTTTCTATATATTTTTTATATTCATGAATTATAGCAAATTCATAAATTACAATTAAATTCTTCAACCAGCTAAGCAATTATGCAATTCAATAAAAGGAAATAAAAACAATACTTACTCTCTTGGCATCAAACAACATTTTCTGTCCTTCCAATCTCCATTGTTCTTTCTTTTCTTCAGCAATAGCATCCTCTATAGATTTCACTGATGAATCTTTGTAATCATTCCACATTCCTTCATATTCCTATAAATGACAAGACTTAGATTATTAAAGACAAAATTTACTCTGGACTTTATACAAAGTCAACTCTAAGATTTACAAATAACAAAACAAAAAATTGGAAAACTAAATAGCTGTAAAATATATCTGAATATTAAGCCATCTACCAACATCTAAAAACACAACTTTTGTTATTCAACTCCAATCCTGAACACCTTATAAAACCCAAGTACATCTATTAACAATAAATCAACATCTAAATTGAAGATGTCACTGAAAAATAAGTATATCTTGTAAATGCTATAACTAAATTTTCTAACATATGAATCTAATGTGGTACGCAATACAACTGTTTTACAAGTGGAATTAGATTCTGAACCACACTGATATCTCAAAAAAAATTCAGTGATAGATTATCTATTAACACACATTGCCCATTTATACAACCTGTCATTAGAAAATTAAATATCAGAAACAGAAAATGTATATTACACTTGCAATTAGCCTGCAAAACTGAATTGTTAAATACAAACTGAAAGACTGGGTGTTGTTCAGAGAAGGCTGTTATTGTGTAATACAGTTTCTTTAATCATGATTTAACTGTTTTTAAGATTGTGAAATTGAAAGAGATTGCACATCCTGCAGTTTTGTTATGTTGACATTTTGCATGGAGCAAAGACTGTTCAGCATTTGTGGGTGAAAGTGTCTAATGGTCATTTTGACTTGGACAAATCTATTGGCCAGGGGGGTTTGGGGGGATTATCTAGGCCCCAAAAAGCTCTGGGGTTTTACATGTTTTCAGATGCATTCTGAGTTATTTTAAATAACTTTCAGAATCAAATTTTAACTTGAATTTGTAGGGGGAAAAAAAAAATCAGACACCACAACTTGTGTTACCAGATGGACCAACCTGATAATGAAGTGTAGTTAGTAAAATTTTTTAAATGTTAATACTCAAACCTACATATAAAAAAATATATCACATAATTAGTTCAGAAGTTGAGACCGTAAAGATTAGAACAGTGTCAGCATTAAAATGAAAAATGTGTTTTTCTTTCACACTGAATTTAAATCATGCCTGGGAAAAGCTATTTTGATGGATTTCCATCTACAGACTGAGAACTTTCACCCATGTTAGTACTGTATCAGTTTTTACTGACTATCCCATGTTGTCATAAGCTCTTACTTGAGATGTTTCATCTTTCCAAAGTAGGTAGCATTATGGTCCCCATAAGTGTAAACAATAAAAGGTTGGTAATTTTTGTTACAAAGAAGGCTTTCAATTAGAAGGAAGGTTTGAAAATTATTTTCAGATCAACTGAAGGGAAATTTCTTTTTATAATATACATAAATGAACTTCTGTTAATAAGGCTGTGTTTACCAACATATGGCATACCAAAGAAGATACAGCATTTAGAAGCACTGGTTGCAAATGGTAGAATGTACAAGTTTATTGGTTAGGAATTTCAAGAGCGACTTTTTCCAAAATGTGTTGAAGGTAGCCATTGCAATTAAGAGTATCTTGAATGAGAGAGATTTTGGAAGAGTAAAAAGAAAGTGGGGCATAGGTTGTCAGCTCTGTTAAGCAAGCATGTCATTAAATTATGTTTGTAAGAGAATGGAATAAAATGGAATTGAATGAAGAGGCCAGTGAATGTTTTTTTTTAAGGTAAACAGAAGTAGAGAAACCAGTGGATAGTAAGTACATATAAGAATAGTAGTGTTTTTAGATTTTATTCCACATGTAAATTTAATGCAAGAGTGATATTCAAGATATTTAAGGAAAAGAGATAGGAAGTGCCATCAATAGATCTTCTATACAATACTGGTTTGATTTTGGCAAGGCAGTTTTTTTTTTTTTACCAGATGTGTAAGTAAGACCTTTAGACAAGGAAGATACACAATGGTCATATAAAATAATGTTAATTAAGTTGTATATCAAGTAGTTAGGGTCAATTGAGTTTGTTTAGGTACTAGTTGAATACAAAAACAAAACAATATTTTATTCCTATGATGATGTAAGTAAATAGGTCAAAACACTACTTTATTATGGTGTGAATGATGTGTCTAAGCTGCTGAAGAACTGTTGTAATTAATTCAACTTGCTGTCAGCAATGGCCATGGAGGACGCAGTGTGGTTGAAATACCATTATATACTCTTTTTTCTTGAAAAGCTGCATGTGACAGAATAAGGAATGTAGTGTTAAAAAGAAAAGGCTGTTTTGACCATAACCACTTCACATTTAATTTAAGTAACTTTACTTTATCATATCAATGTATATATCTGCCTTGTCTAAAAGGTCTTACTTTTCCATTCCACCCTATAAACTTAACTGCCAATTTCCTCTATCTATTTGAAATGTTGTACCATAACTTATAATCACTGCCACTTTACACTAACACGAGTTTTTAGCTGCTAATATAAAGAACTTAGCTGTTTATACTTTCTGAATTACATATAGACCATCTTTTCCTCTGAAATATGAAGAACAATAAGCACTGAAAGAACTCTCAAAAAATGAAAATATCATTGTCATTCAGTGATAAAGGAAATTGAATTATTATTATAAACAAAATTAAACATTTTAAATAAAGGAACAACATTCTAGATGACACTATTAAATTTAAAATACTGAACAAGGTTCCATTATCCATCACTATCCAGTGAAGAAAATAACACAAAAAATGTTGAAAACAAAGATAATCTGAATGTCCAGGACACATTATATTGAACAGAGTTCCAGCCTGGCATTTTATATGAACTCACAAAGGTTTACAAAGAAGATGCCACCCTATGACCTATTCTCTACCATTAGCACCTCAATAAATTTTTAGTTCCTATCTTACGACCTATTACAACTAATGACTTCACTATCCTAGAGTCCTTCATTTTTGTTTGTGAACTTAATCAGCTATGCCCTCTAACAAGCATTTTATGGTTAGTTTTTACATCATATCCATATTTACAAATATTCCTTTGGATGAAACTATTAACATCTTTCTATCCAAACTGTTAGAGAATGACACCCATGTTTATGGCCTTTCTAAAACAGAGTTTAAAGTCATACTAGAACTTACTGTCAAACATTTGCACTTCCATTTCAATAACACTTTCTATGAGAAATAGATGTGCCAATGGACTCCCCATTGGTACCCACTTTAGCTAATGCATTCCTCTGCCACTCTGAACACATCTAGTTAAAAACTGCCCTGCTGAGTTCAAACCAGTATTGTACAGCATGTGTTTATGACACTTTAATTCCCTTTTACCAGCAACAGCATGTATCTTTCTTCCTTAAATAAATGAACAACACTCTTGCATTAAATTTACATGCAAAATAGAATCTAACAAAATCCTATCATTCCTAGATGTATTTATTAACCATGACTCCACTGGTTTGTCTGATACTGTTTACCATAATAAAACCCACTGGCTTCTCATTTTATTCCATTCTCTTACAAATGTAATTTAGTAACATGTCTACTAAACAGAATCCACAACCTAGGCTCCACTTTATTTTCACTCCATTCCAAATTTAAAAAAAATCAAAATGCTCTTAAATGGAATGGAATTTTAGAAAAGTAATTTGAAATTCCTAACCAATAAATACCAAAGCACCCACTGCTTCTAAATGCCCTATTTACTTCTGTATGCTAGACCTTAGTAAACAAAGCCTTATTAACAAAAGTGCAGTCACATGTATAATAAAAAAAAAGTTCCATCAAGTTATTCTGAAAATAGTTTTTAACCCTTCGTTCCAGTTGAAGGTCTTTTTCTATAACAAAAACAAATTACCAACATTATATTTATACATTTGTAAAACCTCCTAGGTTGGCAACCAAATGTCATCTCAAATTAAAAGCTTATGAATGCACGGGATGGTTGGTAAAAATTAGTACAGTGCTGAACAATCCTTGCTCCACTGCAGTATGTCAACAAGACTACAGGACATACAAGCTCTCTCTCAAACTTAATAACAGCTAGATCACAAACAGAAATCTTGATAAAAGAAACTTTGTATTAAACAATACCAACCATCACTAAATAATATTTATTCTATTGAGTTGTATTTATTTTAATGCATCAACTTTCTATAGCTCTGCATTATACATCAACATTATATGTGCTGTAAAATGTATAGTTTTTCTTCTGTTTTTACTCACCTTGATATCATTCATAAGCATATAACATTTGTTATTTCTTGTGACTAGAACATTCTTTTGCTGTACAATCTTAGTCGAATTAAAGAAATGTTATTTTATACCTGGTGTAAGTAAATATGTTGAAACTTTGTACTTTATTTCTAAAAGTGAATATCAATTTAAATGTTTTTAGATTACTCTACATTTGTATTTATGTTACGACTTACGTTACTAGTATGTTATGATTAGCTGCCAAGCTGGCTTTTGTCACTTTATGTCTATAAAAGGATTTATTCTGTAAAAAAACAAAAAAACATGGTAAAAGCACGTTTTTATCAAACTTAGAGCTGCTTTAACCTAATTTAATGATAGAAAAAATTATAATGTCACCTAGTAATTTCAGAGAGTCTAACCTTTTCATTGTGGTAACCGAGTTTATTTTATATGCAGAACTTTTTCTGGTAATGTTGTTACAACATTGCAGTTTTTTGCTTCATAGTTTCAAAGCCATTAATGTTAATATTTTCTTAAATTGCAAACATATTTCCAATAATACTTACCTCTACTCACGCTACAGCTATTACTCAACTGCTAGGGTTTCCTTCCTTTGTCCATCTAGGCATTGGTCTGAATTTTTCTTGCTTGTTCCAGTCTTTTATTCCCCACTTAATTGTCCTTGGCAATATCTGTCTCGTGACACTCTCCACCTACATCAATGCGTCCTCTATCCTGGTACTGTATATAAGCTCCTCATTCAGATAATATTATCACTTTTTTGACACTGACCCATTCCACAGTTTCTAACACTGGCTCTTATTGGGGAAGAAGGGCGGGAGAGTGTGAGAGGAGGCAAGTATTATTGGAAAAACATTTTTGATTTATGAAAATTTGAACTTCCAAAATATACTTACCTCTTCTCACACTTCAGCTAGAATCCTACATTGATAAGGTGGAGGGGCTATAAAGGGCATTATCCATACAGAAAGTGTCTGCATAGATCATGGGCAGGCCAATAGAAGACTAGCATCCTAGTGGGGGAAACCGTACTACATCCAGAACAGGTATGCTCTTTACCTGAAACTTAATTCATGTACTGTGAGTGGAATTTTATAAGATCTGTCATAACTATTGGCCAGGTCCCAACCAGATAGCGGGGATACCATTGCTCGGGATTGGAATTATAGGGCCATGGTCCCTATACACCACGATGGTGGCTAGGGCAGCTGGACCGCAATACATATATATAGAGTGATGTGTTCCGAGTCACCAGAGTCATGATAAAAAGGTAAGCAGCACTGAAGTAGACAAACCTTTGTTCCTCAACCTGAAGAAGTCCTAAAGGCAACACCACAAATTTGGAATGCCATACTCAACCTATGAACACACAACTTCACTTTCTAACCAAGTGGGCAAGGTAAATTCCTCTTGTCTCCGGAATTATGGGGAGGATGTGGAACCAAGGACCTGGGATGAGACCACTCTTCCATCAGAATTATGAGGAAATAATGAACCCTCTTTTATGAACAAGGTACTGAACCAATATTGATCAAAAAGAAGGGCCATGTTCAACCCAACCGGATAGCCAAGTGCCAAATCTGAACTGGTATTATGAGTAGGCTCCTGTGTAGATTTGAGCCTCTCCTACGAACATCTGGGAAAAAACATCCAGGATCCCAACTTCACTCTCTTCTCCAAGAGTAGAGGAAATTAACTTGAATATTCTGGAGGAATAACCTGTCTACCACCCCAGTGACTGGAAACCGAGTGTGGTAAGGAATTCCTAGCTACACTAGTAGAATCTGGAGGTAATGCACATTGGGAGTCCTGCAGAACAGTACAATAGGCAAACCAAGTTTCCTAAATTTTTAAAAAGCAAATCAACCATAATTTATTCCATCCAATGATCGGCAGAGATGTATAGAATCCCCTTATGCTTTACTCATGATAGTTTACAAGTGGTGGTCCACCATAGTACATTAATACCACCTGGTCAGCCTCTAGGTGGTCTTATGGAACACTTCATTTCTGCAGTCTGTTGCAACCTAGATAAAGTGAATTAGTGGTTGCTAGTGCAGAATTGTTTTGATAAAAGCACATCTACCTGGGCAACACTCTGGAAGGTAAAGAAGAGACAAGAGTAGCAATGAAAATACTCACCCTTCTGTATAATCTAGCAGATATGGTTAAGATAGCTACAGGGGTAGTCGAAAACCTTCAGAATAAGATACTGCCATATCATGTAAATAATGTGAGATAAAAGTATTGGGGGAAGTCACATACCAGCCTGCAGTGCCCTCCAGTGGGTAATTCAACTGAACTGCTAAGGACATACAAGTATGATGAATCTGACGAGATGTGACTCACAGAAGACTCCTCGCCTTCAAAGAGAGCCCAGAATAAGCAATATGGATCAATTTCGTACCTACCTCATCAATGTAACTGGGGATAAATCCTCGGAAACTGAAAGATCCCTATTAAAAAAAAATTGTTGTATAGCACCTCTAAAGGCATTAGATCAGGCAACATAACACTTCAAGATCTTCACTGGACATAGCAAAAGATCAAGATCCAATCAGTCATGGAAGTGAGAAATAGTGATCAGATGAATAGGTGATACATGGTACATGAGGCTAGGGATGAATGTACAAGCTGACAATTGAACCAATGTGCATGCAAACAATGGTTTCAACTTGTCATCTATAGACGTGGTAATCCAGCATCTTCCAACAAAGTTGAGAGGGGTAATAACTAACTCAGCACCATATTTCGGGTGAGACAAATCCTAGAAAGTTGTTAATTTATTCAGGGTAACTACAAACTTCCAGGAGCAGATGTAATCTCTGAGAGTCAGAATATGCTTCCACTTGGCAGTGGTATGCTAAAACATGTAGTTCCAACAACTGTGGAGAATAAGGCATAGCTGTCCTTTCACTTAACTGAGCAGTAAACCACCCTACATGAACCACAATATTAGTGTATGGAGGAAAAACTAATCACTCGCTTCCAGACCCTTTGAGCATTCAAGGAAAGTGCAGGCTTAAAAACAACTGGAGAAAGCGAATCTAAATTATCTATAGAATGTTCGATTGTTGAGTGATGCTAAATATCAGAGATGTGATAGGAGAGACCCGGTTTATTTGCTTCCATGCTGGAAATAATAATAATCTGGGAATTTGTGCCGTATATTGGCTTGCCAAATGAAAATTTTTTTTTAAAAACAAAAATCAACTTGGTAACACAAAGAACGCTCAATCTATCTCCAATGATCGTAGTACACAGAAATACGCTAGTGAATGCTTTGTCAAGAATAAAGTGATAATACTACTGAATGAGGTGCTTATATACAGTATCAGAATAGAGGGCGCACTGACGTAGATGGAGAGTGTCAAGTAACAGATATCACCAAGGCCAATTAATTAGGGTATAAAAGACTGGAGCATGCAAGAAAAATTCAGATTAATGCTTAGATGGGCAAAGGAAAGAAATGCTGGCAGTCAAGTAATAGCTATAGCGTGAGAGGAGGTATGTTTTGGAAACAGACTTTATGATTTCACAGTACAGAAATCTTTACTTTGTGACATCTTATTTATTCATCTTTTAATAATGCTCAGAAAGTGCCTGTGCAACATTTCTAAACCTACTGCTATCACTCATATAATTTATTCATTTTGATATATGCAGGTGCAGTGCAAACTTCATAAGTTTCAGTATTTAAAACCTGGGGCTTCTCCGACATTCACTGCTTTGATTTTGCTGTGATGACACAGGCTAAACATGCAGTGTATGTGAAAGCATAGTTGGTCTAGTTGTTTTGGTTTTAAATACATTATAGCTAAACAGTGAAATACAGCTGCAGAAGTAAAGCAGTGATTATCAGAGAAGCCCCTGGATTTACCCCAAAACTTCTGTAAAAACAACTTCTGAAAAAATGCAAAATCTGTGTAGAGAAATATAAGAAGGTTAGTATATGTCATGTTTTCTGACATGACCCACATATATATACCGATATCATGCCATAAGTGTGATGGCATAACATAGAGAAGAGGCTAAATACTTCATCCCATATGTCTGTTAATATATGTCCTAAAATATTCAGCATACCTAGAGTAACACTTAATATAATACAAAGCAACTTTAATACTAAGCACCAGAAGAGGATGGGTTGTTTAAAAAAAAGTGTTTCTCAAATTTCATTATTATAAAAGTGATTATAAAATAAAACTGTAAAATTCATATTTGTCATAAAATTTTGACGATGGTAAATTTTATCTTTCAGGAAGATTCACACACATGAATGAGAACAGGATCACCAGTGCAATTGGAGAACATTTAAATTTTGGATAAGTTCCCTTTACCATTTTTAGTTTGCTAAAATAGCAACCCAATTCATTAATAATGGGAAATAATGTAAGGAAATTAAGACAAATGACAGTTCCAACTGCACTGGCCATAAAAACACATTGATAACTGGTGGTCAAATAATGGAATTAGTTAGAAGCAATATACTGTGATTCCTATTAAACTTGTGTGTATGGGTGAGGGTCAGAAAGTACATGCAAAGACCTGTTACATATCCTCATTCAACATGGTATTATATAATAATAATAATAATAATAGTGACTATAAAGCACATTCACACCAGCAACATATTTGATAGTATTATGTATTTGATGTCAGAGTTAACAACTATTCATTTTACCATATATTGCTGGTTTAGTGAGTTTGTGGTAGAGTAAATACCAGTTACGAATAGCAGGGATGTTGAAAAAAACTGTAGTTATGAATTTCAGAGGCCCTATAGGTTATGCAAATACAACATGTAAACTGTTTGATAGAAAAAAGTACTTTTTGTTCTTCACATGAACATCACCTTAAATCACAACTTGTCAGAGTCTGAGTTAGACTTTTGTAATATATCTAATTTTTTTGTGCACAACAAAATTGTATATTTTACTAAAAGCTTGTCTCATTTTGTGTAGTAAATTCACGTTTATAGTCAACATTCCTTCATAATGGGATTGGTCTACTGGACTCTGTGCATATATATGGTTAATGATAGATTTAAAAGTACTTGAAAACCATAACTGTCTTTTCTGTAGTCATGATTAAAATATTTTTTATAGTACATTAACACATTAATATACACTTCTTTTAACCTTATCACATGAAATACACATTTTCCATGGTTATTGTGTAGGAAAAGGAGAAGAATGGTTCTAAAACTCAGACAAATGGGCAAATTAGAATGAAATTAGACATGTTAAACTAATATATTAATTTGCTGAACAACTTTAAATAACTAGTGCTTTAATTTATGTTTCTGTTAGTCATTATATCAAGGTATCTGATACCTTGGGGTTGGTAACAGCTAAGACTTCTTTCATGTACTCAATATCAATGATAACATGACCTGAAAAATATACTTAACCGTCATCACAGTAAAATTAGGTAAAAAACAATATCCTGAAGATGTTCTTTAGAAAATTTGATAACTTTATCCTTCGTAGACAATATAAATTTTGTTAATGACAGAATATTTTTATGATGGATAGAGTTCCATCTAATAATAATAATTATTTTTAGTCATCAGCTTGAAAAAACATGTACTTTTCTTACAGTTTAAGGGTATATAGCATTTCATATAAAGCTATTTTGTACAACAACTTCATCTACTTAATAAAAGTATGGTGTTATACCTTTAAGTATAAACTTGAAGGAAAAACCTACAGTCATTCTAAAATTGAATATAAAAACATTTTAAATTGAATTACATGTATATTTTTTTGTGTGAACTTTTACAATAACTGATATATATATACTTACAGCAATTTCCTTGTCAAGATACTTAGAAACACCTGGCCCAAACTTCTTTGCTGCAAAAATCACCATTATTGCTATACAAAGCCCAGTGTAGAACTCATGCTCCAGAATGAATATTTCTTTAGAACACAAGTATGTTATCAGACCTGAGCCAAACAAGTAGGGACCAGTTACACCAGTTTTCTTGTAGAAGAACTGAAAAGACACAGGCAAATTATAGCACAAAAAAGTACTTTAACTTGATTTTTAACTTTCAAAAAGTATGTAACAAAGCTTGTATAGCTTTCTAAACTTGATAAAATTTATATGAAAGATAAACAAATTAATGCTTCTATCAAATATTGGTAATATACTGAATTTCTAAATTCATTCCAATATACTACAATTAACATGGTTTTTAAAAATTATTTTTGTCTCTCTCCACTTATTCTAATATTGATCAAAATATATATTTGCATCTTGATCATTCCTCAAAAATGGTATAACTGAAACAGTAGATATTACAGACATTTGAAGAGAAAAAAAGGCATTAGTAAATTATTTCTTAATAGAAATTATCAATACCTATTTACTTGTAAATATCCATGTATATTTCAAATAATATACATTTGACTAATGTACAAGGGAACGTAAAGATGAGCAACTAAAATAATGTCATTCCAAACCATGCGTCACTACTGTGTAAATTGTTTGAGACGAAACTGGTACTTACCCACATAGATGGCTTTTACAGATACAATTTACTAACTAAGCCTACAAAATTTATAAATTTTGACCCACTACTGATTATACAAGTTTACACATACAGAATTTTTCTTAATCCTTTTCATTTCATGAAAGGCTGATGCGTGCATTTCTAGTTATTTTACATAAGGTTAAATTTAGATATGGGAAAGAGAAATAAATGACAGTATAAAATGTTAATTTTCAGCTAAACTTAGGTACTTAATGTTATTACTTGAACACTTTCTGCCAAACAGTTTGACACAGCAAATGTGCAAAAGCCCAATAAAGCAGAAAAATATTGGAACTTTTGAAAACATCTATAATTTGTAACTCAAGTTCAATGAAACTAATAAGCATGTGCATGTTCAACAGAGAACAGCTGAAATATTAATATAGTGAGAAACTCTACTAAAAACAATTAGTTAGCATACATAGGCAAAAAAATACAGAAGCTCTGTGCAAATATTAAAATACTAGCTGCAGGATAGTTTTCTGGTAATGATGTTTATATCTCGTATTGTGTTTAATGACAAGAAATGTTGCATTCAAGTGGCACTTCAATGTGTAAACTTCTATCTGTTTACAGTTTTGTGTCAACATCTTTATAGGTTCGTGGAGAATTTCACTGGTTATAGATACTAAAAAGAAAAACCAATGGAAGCTAAATTTGCTATTTCTATATACTTTTTAACAACTGGAAGAAATAAAACAAGCATTTTATGAAAACATGTGGATGGCCTTTTCTAAATCCTTGTAACATTCATTTTCATACAACTTTTCAAGTTGTAACAAAATAAATGAAAGTAATCATAGTACAAATTTATGAAATATCTATATGAAAATAACAACAACAACAAGAAACAGATATTTTACAATTTTTCTTTAAGCATAAAAATATATTAACTGTCCAAGGCACTTTACAATGGTAGTTTATCTGTTCATACTTATTATTTAACCCTTTCCAGAACTGGAGAATTTTAATGATATCCCTTGATTATTTTCCCTTCTCATAATGGAAACACTTAACCAAATATAATGAATCCAAGTAATCTAATCTAATTAATAAAAAATACCTAATTTCAGCTTAAAAACAATTACATGATTTGATTTAATTCTTCTATCATTTATGTTGTGAAATTTCCAAAAACTTTAAGATATCATTTTGAAAAAACATTTAAAACATTCCTTCCTTTCTTCTTAGAATTCCAATTTTTTTTATTGTTGATCAGAAAGTTCCATGTCACATATATAATCATTTCAACTTGATTGATATTCATTAATCTTGTGCATTTGGGCCTGGCTCTTTTGTGCATGTCATGACCTCTCAGTGTCATAAATAAAATGTACAATGTACATAAATAAACTTGGAATGAAAACATAGATTATAGTTTCAATCTGTATGTTATTGAAGTCTTAATTTCTAAAATATATATTAAAAAAAATCAACAGTCTTCATTTTGTTGTGTCATGTGACACGCCTGTGCTCCAATTTCTTCACAACAGAATTTTATAACTTCAATAGGCTTCTATTCCTACAATTTCGAATTGATTAAAAAAACAAACTATACATAATTAAGGACACACAAGAATCTAAAATTTAAACCTCCTACTGTTTTGATTTGCTGAGATACCAATAAATTTGATAAATTTATCAGAACCCTCCCTGTTAACTTTCAAGTTTGCTTGCTAATCAACTTTACATACCTGATGGGGAGATTTATAACCAACAGAAAGAGCAAATTCTTCTCTACAAAAAAATTTGTGTGTAAGCAATTAGTCAGCCAAATTATTTGGTTTATGGTGATCATATTTTACTGCTCTGAATTCTTAGACATTTTTCAACCTATTTATAGTTTACTTAGAAAGCCAGATAAATTACAGTATAATCTCGATTAACAGACACCTTGAAACAACAGGAACCTCACCATAAAGGGCACATCTTTTCAGTATCATTCTTTTTTCTACTATTTGTAACTAAAATAAATCTTGCAACAATGGGCAGTTTGATAATCCAGACTAAGGGCAGTGTCTTTAGTCCTGTTCTCTATACGGGCACTCAATAAAGCAGGCAGTTAGCCCTTTCCCTACAGGCAGGTTAAAGTGCACATGTAATGACCTTTTAGAGTTATTTTCAAACTTTTATTCAATAACTGTACTATTACTCACAACACTGTAAGTACTCAAAATCTTTGTTTTTCTCATTTATTCTTTATTTTTTAATAAAAATAACTAAAATTTAAGCACTTGTGAATAAAAAGTATTTATTGGTTGATGAATAAGTTTGCTGAAAGGAAAATAGAATTTGATAACTATGTGCACAAATATCTTTGTATGTTTGTATGGTATATCACTATATTACAAACATCCCAGAAGGATGACCAATATTCAAACACTTGTGATGTTTATGGGACTGGCTCTGAACCACATACTATAATAAACATTTTCACAGATTCAAAGTGCAATCTTATTACTCTGGGAAATTCTAATTGTAAATACTGTAGGATACACAAGTTGATAAATTCAATATCGTGTTCTTCGAGCAGGGGTCAAGTTCGTGTCACGTAAGCAGTCTAATGACACAAGTAGCAATTTGTTGCTTTATTTTCAGTGGATTTCTACTTCAGTCATTGACAGCAAAATAAACACACAAAAAAAAAAAAGATAGCGAGCCTTAAAATTCAGGAATTTAGTACGGTCAATATGGAACTAACTTTGCATGGCTCATTTTTTATTAGAGGGTATTTGGACAAAGTCAGAATGGTGCCCTTAATGTCGAGGTTCTAATGTAGTTTTGAGATATTCTATTCTAGAGATTGATATATATTTTTTATGTTCTAAGATACAGATTATATATATAAATTAGTTCTTGGTCACCCAAATTTTTGAGGCTCAACGAGGCTCATGGAAGTTTTTTTTTTTTATGTATATACATTACTTATTGTTATGTATTTTTCTATCAATACAAAATAAATGTAAAATTTAGAAACTTCTCAGGTTAGTCTAAAAAAACTTCATGAAAACAAAACACTTAAAACTTTACAAGCTCCATCACATGTAACCTCAAAATTACATGCTGTTTACATTAGCTATATACGAAACAGTTAATGGGTTCCTGTGGTGATTTATTGCTTTTCATGTAACAATTACTATTTTATTAAGTACAAAAGACAGAAATGAAATACTGATATTAAAAAGAAAGATGTATTAAAAGGTTAGCAGTTGAAACTGTAACTTGAAACTTTCTGGCCAATACTGCATTTAGTGCAGATGTAAAAATGACACGTATTTCACATTTTAAAAAATATTTTCTTTTCCCTGTACTCTTATGATTTTGTGCCAGTTATTGTTAGGCTAGAGAAAATATAAAATTTTCCCCAAAATGCTTTTGATATTCATTTAGGAGGTTTTAGGGGGTTATGTAAATGACATATGAAAACTGTAAGATGAAAAAAAAAGTATTTTCATTCTTAGTATGAAAATTACCTTTTATTCAGACTGATTCAGTAAAGGCTTGAAAAATTCACAGACTAATCTTTAGTAAAAATAGTTTATTTAAAACATTATTTGTTTGTGTGTATGACAGAATTGTAATCCTTACTAAATGCTTGCCAAATCTCAGAAAAATATACTTAATAAACTTAGAATTCTAGTAAACATTAGTATGTACAACTTCACACATACTGGTTGGTTAATTTGAAATAATCACCAATTCCGACTACAAGTAAAAAAAATTGCAAAAAATTAACCAAGATTTATCAGTGGTCTGAAACCCTATCTATCACAATGGCATCAAGTCAGGTTAGATAACAATATTCTTGGTTGAGATGAATAAATATCCAAGAAATATATATATTTTTTTTCAATAAATATTCAGTTCTTCTATTCAATTTATGTTTAAGGCTTTTTTTTAGTGTTCATTTTTTTAAATCATGTTTATTTCTAGCTGTTTTATAATTCTATTTAGATATCTTAAAAAATAAGTGCTTTTTGGAGTTTTTGCTTTTAGTGCTGTAATGAGTATACTAATATACTGTACATTCTCTGTACACTAATTTCTCTTATGGAAGTAGTAACAAGTGCAAAACATAGTTTTATTTATGTTAAAGCTTTGTGAGAGAAGTAATAATTGTATATGAAATCATAAAAATAAAGTTACCACTAATGGATGAAATGAGTTCTTTTTTGTTTTGTTTTCAAGAGTAATATTCCAAAGCAATGTAGTCCGTCTGGAGAGGGTTAAATCTCGTCAGCATAGTGACTTAGGAAAGTGGGGACGCTAATGTAAATTGAATAACCATATCCAGTGCTTATTGGAAAAACACCCATTTCATTTTTTTTTCTGTATAGGGGTGTTTTATTGGTTAAAACTAAAAATCAGAAATGTAGTATTAAATAATATTAACAATAATATTCAATAAACCAAGATTTGAGTCACTGGAATATTTTGTCATCACTTACAGTACTCCCTGAGCTTAACTAGGCTTATCTGATGTCTTGTTATTGAAGAACATTTCTATAGTTTTGTAACAAATATACCTTAACATAAAAACATTTTCAGGAAAAAAATGTTCAAGAAAATTATGAAAAAATTCTTAAGTCTACAGTTTGTTCCTAAGCCTTTTCAAGTTCCCACAATATTCTGTTATTATTCATTGCAGGAGCTACATCTATCACTTTTCCATGTATCCATATATTACTTCTCGCACCTCTTTAGTCACTCTTATCTATTGATATTTAAAGTTCCCCTGTAGCTATTTTCAAAATTGAACTTCATTAGTTGTTATTCACATCGAATGCTGTGAGATTATAAAAGGGTGGGGAAGAAACTGTACTGATAAAACCAGAGAAAGAAGAGGAACACAAAATGAGAAAAAGCATTGAGAATGATTGTTTTTGGCAAATATAAATCTATGCTATGGGATGGAAATAAAAAATTATAAAAATATCAACAAGTGCAGAAATTTAAGTGTGAGCAGTTTTTTCAAGAATTAAATTAATTTCAAAAAATGAAAAAATATTATTTCTACAGTACATGCTAGTTAAACAAATTGTTGAAATGGAGTTAGAATTATTATTTTTACTTACATTTTGAAATTTAATATAGATGTGTACATTCAACACCTGAAAGGTGTTCACAACAGTCTGGGTAGCGTTAACTTATTTTTATTCCCATAGTAAACTTGTAAATATAATTCTTTAAAAAAATTATAATTCTGATTATGTAACAAAAAAGAGGATGCCATGCACATAAACAGATACATTCACTCAGTTGATGTTATATACTATTTTCTTCTTACAAATACAATTTTTTTTAAAAGCTTTACATCACTAGCTGGATGTTCTCTAGGACTTTTTGTTCAACATAATAGCATTAGTAGACCTATTTAAAACGTAATTAGTAAAAAAAATTCAACTATTAAAATATTATAACCACAGAATATCAAAAAAAGTTTTAACAAGAAATTTAACTACTAAGTAAAACACAAAAATTGTTTAGACCTACCATGTTACAGTACCTAGATTTTTTTTTCACTTGTACAAAATGATTAGTTTTCAAATATTTTGCATCTATCAATAAGAAACTAGTCCATGAGAAGCATAACTTTAACTCAATTATGTCCCTAGTGAGTATATTACAGAATACTTGATTTATTCTAAATATATGCAAGTAAACATCTTACCTGAAACCATTCTTCAGGGATAAAACCCAGTCGAACCTTTCCACTATACATTGGTCTTAGAGGGCGTGGAAAGTTTACTAAATCTCTTTCCTCTGCTGTAACAGTAGCAGGTTGCTGTCCCTTAGGTGAAGTAGGCTGACTACTGGAGCTAAGCCTTGAAACATTTATCACCAATTTTTAAAAACATACCACTGGTCAGAACTTCACTAATTCAAGCAATTTTTACTGCAATTCAATTTTTTCAATCATAAGTATGCGATCAGTTAATAGAAAAATATATAATAAAAAAAATAATGATTATTACAGTTTTCAATTATTAAGCCCATGTACACAATTTTACATGTTACTAAAAACTTGAAAGTTTTCTTTATCAAAACACTGTAAAATATAAATGATTATGTAAATTAGTACAAACGTTACACATTTCCCTTGAATACTTGTGTTTATATACAACACTACTACATTTATCAGTAAGTGTTTTTACTAAATTACAATGCAAGATCATTTATAACAGTTTGTAAAATTCATATTACAGTAACATACAAATAACACTTCTAATTTTGTAAGCAAGAGTTGCGCCATTGAATTACTTTTGGAAGATGTATGGATTAAGGAATAGGTTTTTGGAAAATAACTTACATTATGTGAACTGATTGTTTAGCAACTCTTACTATCAAAAACATAAGAAATATAGATTTTTATTGACAATTATATGAAAATTTTTAATGAAATAAACACCTTTTCCCTTCTCTTCTACTTCATTTCAAATTATTCATTATAACTCCTACAAACTAACTGACACAAAAATATGTACTATAATACACCAAGTCAAATAACTTAAAACTATTTGAACTACATACAAGGCTTCTTGTTTACTTCTTGAGGAGACAATTGACACCCCCCCCCCAACCTGTCTGTATTTGATTTACAAATCTACAGGTACCTAAGTCTTGAAGAAAATGAAAATGTGTTCTTTCACAAGATAGATGTTTATATCAAGTTTAAAAACCATCAGGAAAGAAAACTGCCTTTGCTATGTACGTAAGCACCATATTTTGTGCAATTTTTTTTTCTAGGATTTAAATTTCCTAATTATCTTATAAGAAAACAGAGGAATTGCCTGAATATTATAGAAAACATGGAAATAGTGGACATTCTGTGTGAACAACATGGTTACTCAATGTTTATATTGATTTCATCTTTGGAGATAATATGAAAACAAACTGAGTAAATTAACTTTATTTACTTGAAATTAAAAGTTTAATGTATGATTATTAATGTTAGTGATTAAAGAAATTACAAATCTTAGCCTTAATTCAATGTTATTTAGGGGTAGATCAGAAATTATAGATGTCTAACATCTATTCAAATACATATTGTTGTAAACTTGGCAGAACACTTCATTTTTTGCTGGTTTGTTGTCATATTTTACTCATTAAATAAAATCTGAAATTTTTGTCTATTAAATAAACTTTAACTTTGGGTCTGAAATGAACAAAAAATGAAGCCATCACTTTTTCATAAGATCCTATCAACAAAGCAAATGAAACAAAAATTTTCTGTAAATGTGTAAATTGTACACATAATACATGTACATTTAAACAACAGCATGTTAAATATTCTACAAGATAATTGTCTCTAAATACACATCATTTTATGGGTAATTAGTAAATCAAAGAAAAATCATCATTGATTTAAAAACTATGATTTACAGCCACACAATATTTCTTCATTCTTCAGTGTGTGAAAGATGAAGCCAATTGAGTATCCAATTAACTCTTTCAGCACAGGCTCGGTCCCAGAGACCGACCTTGTAACCATTTTGTGCTTGTTATAATTTTCATGCCATAACTTTTAAATTAGTAAGCACATCTTCATGAAATTTTGCAGGTTAGCAGTAAAAATTACAAGGCTTTTATACACAAAATAATTTTTTTTAAGTAATGTTTTTCTCAGGCCTTTTTTCTTTTCAAATGTTGACTATCCAACATGCAATGTAATTTTGATTTTAAAGTTAAAAATAATTTTATGTATAAACAAATTTTCAAATTTCACATGCAAAATTTTTATAACCTCCAGATAATTATCAAACATTTTAAAAGAAATAACTATATTTTATCTGTTATTTTCACAATCGATTCTCTGTACAGGTTTGGTCAATTTGACTGACCTTGAAACAACCATAATAAAATTAGGAAATAAATATAAATTATGCTTTTTTTGTTCTTGAATGACTACAAATTATAACACTAAAAATGCAAGTATTTAGTCTAAATAGCTTAAATCTCATAATTATACAATTATACGCATACATTACTTTTATTACATTGACCTTCCAGCTATGCCTGGCTAACAATACAGAAGTTACAATGACACAGAGCACATGCTCTCATGTTACTGTATCCAATAATATAATACTGAACGTTAGTCTGTACAAAGTGGCCTGAATTAGCTGTGTTTTAGTATACTAGTATCTTGTAAAATACAGTCACATTTTAACTATTACACATTATATATATGTATGTAGATTATTACTATTTAGAAATATGTTCTTAAACTTATTTTTCTTAAAACATAAAACAGTAAATGAAGAAGTAAAGCAAACAATTATCTCTTCTTGTTATTACCTTTGTACTCGGTTGCTACTTCTCGTAGCTTGCTAAGCCTTAAGAAATTTTAGACGTGGAGGATGTGAAAAGAAATAAGTTTTATATATACATTTGAATAATAAAAAAATCTTAAATTACTATATTAATACCATAGAATTCCACTATAATTTATGAAGTTTAGTAACTAAGCTATATTTCGGTCTAAAAAAATATGAAAATATGTAACGTCCTTGAAATCTTGTTTCGAAAGAATGAGATGGCGTCCTAACACATGAAAATGGCTAAGAAAGCATCTAGGGGGACATTCTGAGCTTTTGATTGGTTATTCACATGTCATATACACAAGTAAATGTATATAGGAGAATGTTTTGAAAAATGGAAAGAGGTGGATGGGGCCACTGTGTTTGATTCAGTACATGACCAATATCTCAGCAAATAGAAAATATAGAAGGTTCTATTTTATATTCTAGCTTGTTAATACTGGTAATTTGAG